CCTGCTGCACGGCATGTCAAGCTGGGTGTCCTGCTTTCAGCCAGAGGTGTCAGAAAGCCCTCAGACAGGCTGGGATCCCTTTGGAGAACTGAGACACTGCCGGGTGAGATGTTTGGTCTGAACCACCTGGCTTCGCCCTCTGCTCGGCAAAGGGATTGGTGCACTCCCAGAGGCGCTGCTGGTGCTCATCCTGGGGCTGGGGGCTGCAGATGCTTGCCCAGGAGTAGAATAGCACAGCCTGCCTGCCCAAATCCTCCTGCAAGGTGAGGTGGCTCAAGGGCATCAGGCACCAACGGTGCACCAGGCCATGGCAGCATAAAGTGTCAGGACGCGCCAGGGCTCCTTCTTTTGCCTCATTTTGACAGAGATCAGTGTTTACAAAAGATGTTCTTGATAGGAGACTGTACCCCTCTCTCCAGAAAAAAATATAAAAAAATAATAAAAAAAAAAAATCTGGAAGGTAACTGCATGGACCTGGATCAAAAACAGGACAACAGAAACGTGATTCTCACCTCTGCAACATGTATTGTTTGGGCACCCAAGTTCTCTATTGGAATCCAGGCTCCCGAGTCTGATCTGCTCCTCAGAGCAGGCACCACAACAGCCAGCACTGCAAGCTGAGTCTGATTACAAGCAAGAATCTGACCACAAAATGAAAATAAATAAAAATAATAATAAAAAAAAATATCTGTCTCCATAGCTTAGGCTTTCAACTGAATGAAAATGGTGTGAAAAGAGGAAATCGTTTATCTTAAACTATTTTTTTTGAGTAATTGGTGTTTTGTATAAAAGTATAATGTATAAGCCCCAAACAGTCTCAGATATTAACTTTAATTGGCGAAGAACAATAAAGGGATAGAAAAAATAATATTAAAATATTATTGACTTGCTACCAATAAAGACATGACTCTTAGACAAAGATCGGTAATAACCTTGTAATTGTAAACAATTCCAGTATCCTGAGAGGCGTCCAGGTTTGCTTGATTTACGTACCAGAAGAAACAAAAATTGTTTAAATGTTGCCCCGCTAATTTAATTAACAAAAGTCCGTCATATGTGAGAAGTGAATTCAACAAATAAAAATATGGGAAAAATTATTACTTAGTTCTACATTGAGGAGCAATGGTAAAGGAAACCTGAACTTCACGTGATGTTGCACCCAATAAACATCAAATGATTAATTGTACTTTGAGTGTTCTTAAAAGCCTAAAGACTTGCACACCACAAATGCATCTAGTGTGATTTGGTAAATATTCATTAAAATGCTCCAGCAAATAGTAAGCAAAAAAAAAAAAAAAAAATCAAAACAAATAGATGGACCAGACACTGGATGGTGACTCACGCGTGACTTGTGCGTGTCATTCTGCATCTATTTTTCTATCAGAGTGCAAGTAAATTCCACTTTTATTGAATATAATATAATTTGAATATACATATTGAATTTAACTTTATTAAAACAGATGAGAAGGTAAATACAGGAACAAAAAATCACGACGTTTATTTCCCAGAAAAATTCAAAAGCTATAATTAATGCCTACAAGACGCATCCGGCCATTTGGATACGACGGCTTGTTTTTTATTAGTAAATCAATTTAATCCTGCCCGGGCTGCATTTAACTACGTCAGAAGACGAGGAATATATAACCATTTACTTGAGTAGTAGGAAAATCGGCGTAAAAACAAGGAAAGAGTCAAGGAGAGGACTGACTTCAGGAGATGGTCTTGCCTGCAGACAGCTGCGAGCTGCTCCCGGTATGTGCAGCTGGCGGTGGCCTCCTGGCACGGCACTGGGCATCGACAAGGCATCTTCTCTCTTCTTTGGGATCTCGAGGATTAAATAATCCGTACGGTTTTTTCCTTCTGGGGGTCTTGCAAGGAGGGATAGCTCGGGAGAAATGCTGCCACGCGGTGCTGACAGCGAAACGCTGGCAGCTTTGCTTCCTTGCTCGGTGCCGGGCGTGCCAAACCCTGGCTTTTTATCCTAAAGTTGAAGCAGCAAGAAGGGTATCTGGGCCGGTTTTCCCAGGAACAGCAGCTCTGAGCGATAACAGTGGGCCGAACCGTGTCACCCCGCGCACACGACCCAAGCCCCGAGCATTTATTCCCGTTCGGCTGCAAGAGGCTACAGGAATGCTCGCATCGCAGCCTCCCAGCCCTAAAGGACACGGGTTTTTCCCCATAAAAGGACTATGGGAGAAGAAGGGGATTGCCTGCCAGCTATTAAAACCCGCTGAGCTAATTTGCTAAGAGTTTGTCAAGTCGGTAAAATTAAACCCTTCGCTGTCAGCGTTATATTTGCACATTCTCCGGGCTTAATATTCGGTTGGGTTCCAAAAAGCATTATTTTTTTCCCCACCAAATTGTAGGTGGCATATCCTTCTGTCCCTGCAGTCCATAAACATCTCACTCTCGACACCTCAGCAGGCTCCTGACGTAATTTACAAAGCGATTTGGGGGCTGAGTGCTGCAGGAGAGGCTTACGCGAGGTCCCCCGGGCACATATGGACGAATCCTGCCTGGGGCTTGTCTCAGAGGCACGCAGTTACAGCTGCGGTTACATCTGCCTGGAAATAGGCTGTTATTAGTTAAGAAATTGGGTCGAAACCCGTTCAAAAGCAGACGACCTGAGATTTTCCTGCAAAACCAGCGAGCTGCCCAGGGCACCTTTACATTCGTTTGGTGCGCAGCCAGGGAGAGGCACGGCCGAGGTGAAAGCCACGAACCACATCTTCCCCGCCAGCAGCAGGGTCGGAGGGGGGTGAAACCCCCTTGCAGGAGGAATCCCCGTTTGTGCCATGGCCATCTTCCACCCGCGCCCCTGCGAGACCCGGCAGGAGGCTCTGTATTTCTGTAAGCACGTCGGGAGGTAAAATAGGGACGAGTCTGGGGAAGAAAAAAAAAATCTGAATAAATACAGCAAAGGTACTGTGTCCCAGCTGTGGGGCAGCCCTGGGCCATGAAACTGAGGAAAGTTTTTGGGGCGGGTGGCCGGGACAGAAGCGGGTCTGCCCGGCAGGAGCAAATCCTACCCTGGAGGAAAAGCTGGAGCATCGCCTTCTCCCCGTGGGAGGCAATCCCACCCGGGAGACCTTTTTTATATATTATATATAGGGTGAGTGCCCCTGAGAGAGGTTTTGCAGCCGTTTTTTTCCTCTGCGTGTGTGCCGTCGACTCTTTCCTGAAGCATCAGGGCATCCTGGCAGCGCTTCAGCGAGCGGGTTGCATCGCACCTGAAAAGAAGGATGGCCCAGCTGATTGCATTAATAATAATCAATTAAAAAATAATATTAATAGGAAAAGGGGCCGAGGGCAGGGGCAGCGGCGGCGGGCAGTGAGGCCGGGACGCCTCTAGATGGGGCAGCCCGCCCGCAGGCGGCCCCGGGCGCTGCGGAAGGCGAGCGGGGAGCCGGGTCCCCTGCAGGGCTTCGGCTGAATCCCGGGGGGGTCTCCAAGGAGGGTCCCCCCCGGGGAGAGGCAGGGATGGGGCAGAGAGGGGAGGCTTCACGCTCGGATTCCCCTCCGCGGCAGCCGGGCGGGCTGTGCATCCCCCCGGCGGTCTGTCCGTCCATCCGTCCGTCCGTCCCGCTGCCCCTATCCCCGGAGGGTCGGGGGGGCTCGGTGGGACCACCCAGCAGGCCCCCAGGCTCCGCAGCCCCCCGCCGGCCTCCCCCCGCCGCTGCTCGCTCCCCAGGCGTTTCCTCCCCCGAAATGTCCTTCTCTCTTTTTTTTTATTTTTTTTATTTTTGGTCCGGGAAGAGGGCGCAGAGATAGCCCGGGGAGGCTGAGGGAGGTCGTGGTGGTGGGGATAAGGAGTGAAAAATAAAACTAAAAACTAAAAATAGAAAGATAAAAAGAGAAGGGGCGGCGGGGAGGGAGGCTCGGTAAATCAGCGAAGAATCGCAACCACTGTGAGCTAACCGCAGGTATTTCCAAAAGCTTGGACGCGAAGCCCCGTAAAGCAGGGGCTTGGGGGTGCTGCAAGCCGGCTCATCCTCCTCCTTCTCCTCCTCCTCCTCCTCCTCCTCGCCGCTCCCCGGCCCCACAGCGGCTCTGCCCCTACACCTGAGCGGAGCCTGGACGAAGGAGCGCACCCCACTATTCCCCGTCCCCTCCGTGCCCCAAAACCTCCCCCCGGCCCTGCTCCCCCACCTGCCCCGCCTGCCCTTCTCCTCGTTCTCACCCCTGGGCACCCACACGTCCCCTCTGACGCCCCAAATTTCACCCCTCGTCTCTCCAGCATCCCTCAGACTACCCGCGCGGGCACCTTCCTACACATAAGAGGATCGATCGAGGCTCCCCTCTTATTTCCCTCCATCTCTTAAAAATTCCCCTCGGATGTTTTCCGGCTGCATCGTGGCACAGACGGCAGAGCCGGCAGCTGCCAGGAGAAATACCTGGGGGGGAAAAAGGGAAAGAGAAAGGAGCCCCCCAGGGTTACCGGCAGGGAAGGACGAGCCCTCTGCTCCTTGAGCCAGGCGAAGACCATCTCCGGCGAGGCGCTGCGTACCGAGGCGGGGTTATCTATTGTCTTCATTTATTTTTTTTTCCGCTAAGAGCGATGTGGGAAAACATTTCTCTGTCGCCAAAGTCGTTGAGAACCGATTCCAGCGGGGCCGGACGGTGCTGGAGGTGGGCGCACGGCCGGGCAGGAGCAGCTCAAGGGCGTGTGGGTGCGCTTCGAGGGCCCGGGGGCACCGCGCGGACTCGCTCTGCTCCGCTCCCCCTTGCCCCAAAATCCCCGGGTGCCGTCCTCCCGCCCAGCCGCATCCCCCCGACGGCGCGGCCCCGTCCCGCTGCACCCCCCCCCCCCCCCCCACACACACACACCGGGCCGCAAGGGGTTAACCCCCGCGGCGCGCGTCTCCCCGCGGCGGGGAGCCAATCGGCGCGCGGCCTGCGCGCCCGCCGCCCAATGGGAAGGCGCGGGGCCGGCGCCGTCGCGCGGCGGCGAGGGCCGGCGGCGCCGGCGGGAGAAAAAGCAGAGGGCGGGCGGGGGCGGGACAGAGCGGGGCGGAGGCAGCGCCCGCGCCGCCAGGGACCCGCGGCGGAGCGCGGCGGCGGCGGCGGCCCCGGCGGCCCCGTCCCTATGGGCGGGCGGGCCGGTAGCGGCGCAGAGAGGCTGCCCCCGCTGCTGCCCCCGCTGCTGCCCCCGCTGCTGCCCGGGCTCCCGGCGGCGCACCAAGGCCCGGCACCGGCAGCGGCAGCGGAGCGGCCGGCGGCGGCGGCGATGCGGTCGCCCAGCTGAAGGCGCGGCGCCGTCGCTGCTCGCTGTCGCCCCGCCGGGCCATGGCCGTGCGCGGCGGCAACGCCCTGACGCCTTTCTCCATCCAGGCCATCCTCAACAAGAAGGAGGAGCGCGCCCGACACGCGGCGGGGCGGCCGCCGGGGCCGCCCGGGGGATGGAGGCTCTGCGGGGCCGCCGAGGGGCCGCCGCTCCCCGCCGGGGCCGGGGCCGGTGCTGCCCGGCCGGCCGCTGCCGCCCCGAGGACGCCGGCGAGCTGGGACTCGGACTCGGCGCTGAGCGAGGAGCCCGAGGGCGAGCGGCGCTCCGAGGAGGAGGGCGCCGGGGGCAGCGGCCGCCCCGCCGAGGCGGCGGGCGGCGGGGGGAGGCCGGCGGCGGCGGAGGCTCAGCCCCCGGAGGCGGCGGAGCGGGACAACGCCGGGCTCAGTGACAGCGAGATGTCGGCGGCCGTCTCAGGTACGGGCCGGGCCGGGAGGAGGGGTCGCTCTCCGGTGGGTCGCGGGTGGGAGGCGGCCGCGGGGCTCTTGTGCCGAGGGCCCGGACCGGAGGGATGGAGGGGAAGGGGTCGGAGAGGGGCCGAGCCCCCCTTCGAGCACAGAAGGCCGAAAAACCCCCGGTGCCGTCGGGCCCCCGGTGCCGTCGGGCCGGAGCCGGCGACCCCAGCAGCGGCTCCCGGGGCGCGGGGGACCGGGGGATGGGGGCGTCCCGGTGGCTGCCCGCCGTGACCGCCGTGCTGTCGCCCTGCCCGCAGATCGCAGCCCGCCGGAGGAGGAGGACGGAGCGGGCAAGTGCGGGAAGCTGCTGCCGGCGGAGGACGAGGCGGCGGCGGCGCCGAAGCCTCGCAAGAAGCGCTCCCGGGCCGCCTTCTCCCACGCGCAGGTCTTCGAGCTGGAGCGGCGCTTCAACCACCAGCGCTACCTGTCGGGGCCCGAGCGGGCCGACCTGGCCGCCTCGCTGAAGCTGACCGAGACGCAGGTGAAGATCTGGTTCCAGAACCGGCGCTACAAGACCAAGAGGCGGCAGATGGCCGCAGACCTGCTGGCCGCCGCGCCCGCCGCCAAGAAGGTGGCCGTCAAGGTGCTGGTGCGCGACGACCAGAGACAGTACCACCCCGGCGAGGTGCTGCGGCCGCCCTCGCTGCTCTCCCTCCAGCCCTCCTATTACTACCCCTACTACTGCCTGCCCGGCTGGGCACTGTCCACCTGCGCCGCAGCCGCCGGCACCCAGTGAGGGGCACCCAGCGTGCGCCCCCCGCAGCACCCCGGGGAGCCCGTCTCCCACTCCCCCTGCTTCCCATCCACAGCCCCCCGCCGCAGCTCTCGGTGCCTTGGACAGTATTTATTATTATTTTATTGTTATTTTTATTATTAATATTATTTGGACGGTCCCTCACCCGCTCCTCTCCCAGCGTAGGACTTCTCAGCCACCCCCTCGCCCCGTCCCCACCCCGGCAGCCGAGGACTCTTGCAATTCGGCACGACTAGTTCATGGTATCCATGTTGTCAGTGTATTTGGTGTAGACTTTTTTGTTTTTTTGTTTGTTTGATTTCTCTTCGGATCGGTAGAGACTCGATCTTGTGTGGGAGAGAGAAAGAGAGAGAGAGAAAAAAGGAAAGGAAAAAAAAAAAAACACACCATCAACAACAAAACGCCACGAAACCAAATGCAGCTCCAAAGAGGAGATCAAGGACTCCCTCGGTGGATTGTAAGGAAGCTTATTTTTGACGTCTGTTTGAGTCCTTGGTCTTCCGACTCGTTGCAAACTGAGTGTGCCTTGTATGGTGCTGAATGTAAGGAAGCCTCTTTCAGATCCCCCCTGCTCTTGTTGCCCATGTTATTCCTGTACTCCATGATCCCTGGCAAAGGATAAATATGTCACAAAAGGGTGAGACTTATATCGCAACTCCAGACTTCTCTTTTTTTTTTTCTTTTTTTGTTTTGTTTTGTTTTCCTGAGATCTTTCCGTGTTCGGGGAGGGAGGAGTTACGGATTTTTCGCACTTTCCAGTTGTATTAAAGTTGTTGTTATTATTATTTTTATATTCAATGTGAATATTTCTAGTCAGGCTTTAAAAAAAAAAAAATCGATGTAACGGGAAATTTTAATACCATCAGTGCCTTTCACAGTTCTTCTGCAGCCCTCTCCTTCAGGGGCGGGGATTTCTGATCTGCTCAGCAATGTAATTACACTTTCTTTCATTCAAGGTAACTCGTCGCTTTTTTTTTTCTTTATTTTTTTTTCCTCCCTTTCTCTTTTAATGGCACTGTGCACTCAACTAGAGTATTTACTTCAAATGAATTGTGAATGTTTGTAAGCTACCCGCTGTACTTTTTTTTTTTTTTTTTTTAATTTATAAACTTTAGTTTAACACCTCGCTCTGCCGCGTGTGTCGTTTCTGAGGGCTGGCACGGATTTCCCCGGCAGCTTTTTCCCTCTCAGCTCTGCTCCTTTCCCTCCGTGCCCTGCTCCAAGGGCACCGGCAGTGGCTCCGGATCCCCCCGGGGGCTCGGGCGTGCAGGACACGATGCTGTTCGGTCTGTCCGGCTCAGAGGGGAGCCCCCAGAGCCCCCCAGCTCCCGGAGAGGAGGCTCCCGAGCGGCTCCCGGGGAGGATGCGGGGCGGTGCGGGCACCCCGGGACCGCCACGTCGGTTTTCCCGTGCTAGGGGCTTTCCCGCATCCCTCGAAAACCCAGGCAGCTCCTGGGGGGGGGGGAAGCGGATAGTGATCATAATTATTATTCCCCCGCGTCTGCGGGTTATTCCCTCTCTGCTGGATCCTGCAGCCGGGCTCGTCCCAGCGGCCCGAGGCCGCACGGCCACGACAGCCGCTTGGGGCAGCCTCCAGCTTTGGAGAGGATTTCCCGGGGCCGGCCCTACAGTGAGCCGGAGCCGGCCCTACAACGATCCCGGGGCCGGCAGCGTCCTGCTTGGGGCAGCTCCCCCCCAGGGGGACGGGACGGGCAGGGCAGGGATGCGCAGCCCCTCGTTTTTCCGCCCGATTTTGCTTCACCCCTCTCCCGAGCACCCTCCCGGCTCCCCGCAGCGAGCGGCCCCGGGCGGATTTGCAGCCCCACCGCCCTGCTGCCGAGCCTCGAGTCCTCCGAGCAGCCCCAGGAGGCCTCCGGGCAGCTTCCTCAGCAGCCCCCTCGCCCCCCCAATTGTTATTTCTCTCTGCCCAGGCTCTGAGAGCAGCGCTGCGGGCTGCGGCTCTCTCCCAAACAGGCTCCCCGCGGCGTGGGCAGGGGTAGAGGGGCCGGGGGCGAGCGGATCGATCCTAAAACTGTCGGTGTCGGTGGCACGGAGGGCTCTGCTCTGAGTTTGGGGTTTTAGCTGTGCCCCGCCGGGTGGGTTGGAGCTGAGGGAAGGGTGGTTTACAGCGAAAATCTTGGCGGATGCGGGAGGAACGATATTTATTAGCCCCGATCCTGAAATGCATATTTTTTTCCTTTCTTCTTTCCATTTTTGTTTTTATTTTATTTATTTATTTTTTTTTTAACCATCTTCTCCCGCCTTTCCCACCGCTTTCCCTCCTGGGAAAACGAAAGCTGGAGGTGGCTGGAGCAGGGATGGTTCCGAGGGGACAATTTGCAAGAGCGGAGGGGCCGGGGCGGGACACGAAATTTCTGTCGCGACCAGGGGGGGCTTTCGGAGAAGCTGCTCACTGCCCCTCTGGGGCTCCGGGATGGAGAGGGGGGGTTATTTCGAAGCCTTTCCCGTAGGTGACCGGGTTTTGTTATTTTTCTCCGTGCTCGCTGACGGATGGAGCGCTGCAGGGAATCGCCTGATGTGAAAAGAAAGCGTCGGTCAGGAGAGCTTCCCCAGGGCCCTTCGGGTTGTGGCAGTGGGTAACAGCCGCGGGACAAAGCCGCAACCTATTTTTCTTTGAATCTAGTAAAATTAAGATGCGTTTTGTTCGAGGCAGAGATCGCTGAACAAGGTGATCCGGGCGAAGTTAGCCAGGAAGCTAGGACGAGGTTCGATATCGAATATTTCGGTTTCGCTACTGCAATCGTTTGGCGTTGGCAAAATCCGGTACTGGCGGAACATCAGTGTTTTACATCGAGGGGGGTTAACTGATAATTTAATGCAATTTTACGTGAGTTTGGAGGCTTTTCTATTCCTGCTTCTACCGATAATTTTACACTTTGAAATACAAAGCAATCGCTCCGAGTCTTTTTCTCTTTTCTTAATGACAAACCCCCCAGTAAGCCGCGCGTAACTCTACCAAGGCCAAAGGAATCAGTCCGGATTTTCGACGGTTCAGTTCACAGCAAAACCCGGGCTTTAGCATGCTCTCTCCATCCCACCCCCCGACCCCATACTCGGCTCTAGAGCACATCCACTGCTGCACCACGACAGTAACCTCCCTATCGATATGTCCCAGCCTCTGTCCCCGAGCCCGGAGCGGTGCGGGAGCCGTGGGAACACTTTTCCATCCGGCCACCGGCAGGCTACGGTCAGAAAAAAACAGTCGCAACAGGGAGAGAGAGAAACTACCGCAGCTACGAGAAATTCGATTGTTGAAATGTAATGTAAATTGTGTATATCTTTGCATATGTCTCCACAGGCGCTCGTGTTTGTGTATGAAACGCTCGCACAGGCGCAGAGACCAGCTCTGCGCCCAGAAGGCTGCCTATATTTAGATCCCTCCTGCTCGCTCGCAGGGCAATAAAACAGGAAACCACGTAGGTTTCCCTTCTCACACGCGCTTCTCAGGTAGAAATCAGTGCAGAAGAAGGAGGCTCCGGGCTCGGGTGCTCGGATGCCCGTCGTGCCCGCTGCCTGCTCCCGACGGCGCGGCACCTGCCCGGCCTCCCGGCGGCAACCGGCAGCGGAGGGCAAAGGTGGCCTGGGGGTTAAGGGCCTGTTCTCGGCCGGAGAGGGATTTTGCAGGCCCCGTTCCGCTCCGCTTCTCCCGTCGGAGGGGAGAGAGGAGCCCCGAGGGCGGCCACACGCCTGCCGTCGAGGGTGGCGGGGTGCCCGGCCGGGAGGGACCCTTCGCCACCGCCTTGCAGCTGCGAAGGTGCCAGGATCAAGCGGCTCCGTGAGACGGGGTTGAAGGTGCCCGAGCGGGCGAGTAGCGCTGGGGACTCTGCCCGAGAAGGGAGCGGGGACGTTGGGCACCGGGGCGGCCCAGACGGGGATGAGCGGGAGCCCCGGCGCCGGGCAGAGCCGAGCCCTTGGAGGGAGCTTGGAGGGTACAAAGCCAGAGCCCTGCGTTCAGGGGAGTCCAGAGGTGGTGACAGCGGTGGTGGCAGCGGGGGGCTTGGTTTTGGCCGAGGTGATGCCACAAATCCTGGGTGCTTCTTCCTCGTCCCATCCCCGGGGCCGCCACCACTGCCAGCTTTGACGAGTCCCTTCCTCCTGTCCAAAAGTCTCCCAAAAATGAAATGCGGGCTGTGTCCTGCCGTTGCCTGTTGCAGGGGGAGCGGCAGCAGCAGCCAGGGAGCAAAGGCAGCGCGTCCCCTGCTGAGCCGCACGGCGCCGGGACCCCGCACCGCACCGCGCCGGGGCAGCGCTCTCCAGCCTCGGCAGAGCTCCCCCACCCCCGGGGGCTAGCAGAGAGGCCGGTGGGCGAGGGGGCTCTGCCTGCACCCCCCCTCCCGGCCCGGCTGGAGATGTCTGAAGGGCCCTGCGCACCCCGGGTGCCGCATTTCCCCCCGACGGCTGCCGGTGCCTTGGCGAGGAGCGGGCGGAATGTCCCCCGCAGGTGGGATTTGCTCTTTTATTTATTCCTTTATTTAGTTTTATTTTAAGTATTGGCATTTATGGTATTTTCTTTGCAAAAAGGAAGGAGCTTGGAGCTGTTGGGAGGAGCCCACGGAGCCGAGCGGGAGGGCACGGCCGGGGGGTGACAGTGGCGGTGCCCGGCGCGATCCGGCACCATTCCGGTGTAGGGCAGGTGGGGGGGCAGGGCTGCCCCCTCCCACCCTGCCCAGGGCTCGGTCGGGGCCCTAGGGACCGAGCAGAAAGCCCAGGGGAGCTTTAGCCCTGGAGCTGGGAGCTCTCGGCTGCCCAGAGTCCGTGGAGAGGCTAGGGAAGAAGGATCCCAGCCTCCTCGCCAGAGGGCTGGAGAGATGTGACCCCATGGCTGATCCCAAAAGGGATCCTGGAGAGCAGTGCCACTAGCGGTGGGCTCATTGGAAATAAGAGCGGGGGCTGCGGAGCTGCGGCTTTCGCATCCCTTGGGCTCTCAGGTGCGCCCGTGGCTTTCAGCCTCAAGTGAAGCTCGGTAGCAAAAGAGGCCGGCGTTTGGGCTCCCCAAAATCTCCGCCGGTTAGGGACGCCGCTGGTGATAAAATATAAACCTATGTACTAGGGCTCGTGGATAATTCAAACAATTTTTCAACTATTATTATTGCTCTTATTTATTTTGAAAAGAACCCAAGGCGGGGGCTCGGAAGGCTCCACGCAGCCTTTTCTCACACGGCCGACTGCACAGCAGCCCGGTGCTCTCCCCCCCCCCGCGAGCGAGAACGGCCAGAGAACAGGGAACAGGGCTCTCCTGGGACACAAGCCCCGAGCTGAAAAACGGTGGCAAGGCTGAGAAAAAGCACAAGTGCCTGTCCTGAAGCTTCTTGGAGCCGGACGGCAGCAGCGGGCGAGCGGGGGCTCGGGTGGGCAGGGGCAGAGGGGCAGCGGGGGGATTGGGGGGGGGTTATTTGGGGCTATACTGGGGCGAGAACCCATGGGGCAGCAGGCGGCTGCTGGGCGGCGCGGGTTGCGGCTTTGTTTCCTCGATTGCTCTGTGGGGAAAGCAAATCCTGCAAGCGATGATGGCTCGGGAAAAAAAAAAAAAAAAAAAAAAAAAGGAATAATAAAAAAAAAAAAAAAAAAAAAGAAAGGAAAAAAAAAAAAAGCTGGTTCAGAGGCGAGCCCTGCCTTTCTGCTCCGGAGGGAGGTGGCTGCTTGACGACCCCGCTCGCCGTCGGTGTTGAGCTCCTCGCTGCAGTCGCCCCATAGCGGGACCCCCCCGGCCCCAGGTTTTTCTCCGGGGCAGGGGCAAACCCAAACGCTCTGCCCGTGGATCCGCGCTCCGAGCAGCCGGGGAAAGTCTTTGTGTCGCAAAGGACTCGAGTGATAATTAGGGATGAAATGCGCGTGGAGAGGACTAATATTATTTTTGGCTTGGGTGGGAATAATACAGATTTGCAACCCGTAAGAATAAAGCCGGGGTAAGGCTGGGAGAGGAGGGAGGGAGGGAGGGAGGGGAGGCGGCTCCGCTCGCCGCCGGCAGCACCGGGTGTTGATGGCGAGCTTCGTGCCGGGCTCTTCGGCTTGGGACAACGACGGGCAAACGCTGCCGTGCTTGGGATTTGCCTCTTGGGGTCTCTGGGGAAGGCGGCCGGGGCAGGGCTGGTGCCGGAGCAGG